AGTACACGACGACCGGCGTCAACGCGGTCACGAGAGTACCGTCCGCCGAGCAATACGCGACCGGCAACCTCACCAGAGTACCGTCCACCGAGCAACAGTATCCATCCACTGGCACCCTGAACCGAGTACCGTCCGCGGAACAATACGCCGGCGCTATCGCGACCGCGACTGCTACCACCGCCGCCGCAACCACCACCACCACCGTGAGTACCAGGGTGTCACACACCGCAGGGGAGCAATATTCCGGAGCTGGCACGCTCACCAGAGTACCGTCCACCGAGCAATATCCGACCGGCACGCTCGCCAGAGTACCGTCCGCCGAGCAGTACGCGAACAATATCGCGAGGACGGCCGCGGAGCCCGGCCATCACGCCGCCCTCGCCAGAGTACCGTCCATCGAAGCAACCAGAAACACCGAGCTACAGAGAATACCGTCCGAGCAACAGCAGCAGCAGCATGTCGCCGCCAGATCCGCCGAGCAGAACGGCCTACTTCGGATTACCTCGGACTACCAGAGCCCGAATTCGCTGAGGGATCCAAACGCGAGGTAAGCATAAACTGTCTTTGCGAAACACTCACTCGGGACCGCGAACTCTCGCCGCACCGTCTCAATTTCAAATCGCGATTCTCGTTTCTACCCCTCTTTTTTTCAGGTTTTTTTTCTTTTTTTTTTTCTTTCTTTCTTTCTCTCTCTTTCTGTCTGTCTCTGAGAGACCGGTCAAGGTCGATCGGGTTCGTTATCCCTCTAATCTCTTTGATCGGACACGATTCGATATCGTACGCAATTCGACAGGCATATTCGTGTTTCCAACAGGCTTTCTTCTCCCCTTGACACACACCGATGATTCTTCGATCGAGAATTCGATCGGGTATATCGATATCGGGGAACGCGCGCCTCGACAGATTAACCGATCGCGCGCACGCGTTGAAGCAAAGACAATTTACGCTAATCTCGTGAGATTTAGTATGGAATTTCTAGGGTCGAACACGTAAGCCGCGTTCGGCCGCTATATACGAGTATATATCACGCTCCATTTCAAGATTACCGACCACCGCGGAGAACTATCAGAACGTAAGAATGGAGGGTCTGACGAGGCTGCAAGAGCACCGGCTGGAGCTGCAACACCGTCTCGACATGCACCGAACGATGGAGATGCCACCGTCGCCGTCGCCGAGCAGCAGGAGCCTAGCTCCTTTCAGCTCGGCTAGCTCGAGCTTATCCGAAGGCAGCAATCAACCGTCCGGCGAAGATTCCGCCAGCATCGTCACAGGTATATTCACATACACACACACACACACAGTCGCCATTTATTTACCGTCGCCAATTTTTGCGGCTTGTTCGTCGCGATTCAAGAGAAAGAGAGAGAGAGTGAGTGAGTGAGAGAGAATGTGTGTGACAGAGCGAAAGGAAGAGAGAGAGAGAGAGAGAGAGAGAGAGAGAAACACACCTGGATGTATATTTGTGTATTTGACGCGACTCGAACGTCGGAACCATCACCATCAGAAAATGGTACACGCGATCAGCTGGGCCGGAGTGAATCTCGCCGTGACGTATATCAGCAGGACTCTCTCTACGTACATGCCACTTGTACATGCTCGATTTTTAAGACTGCGTTAAGCCAGCGACTTCCACCGTTGCCGTTGACGACGACAAATCTAGCGTTGATTGCATGACGTGTTCAAGCTCAAACCGCCACCCTTGTTTCCGTGGGTTTTGTTTTTTTAGACAAGAGTCTCGGCGATACAGCCTCCGACGTGATTAGCGACAGTTCCGGGGTCGGGACCTCGCAATCGGACACTACCAATTCACTCTCGATCCCGGGCACCACGGTCGTCTGCGTCGAGAGCTACAACAGCGGGATTCTAGGCCATCTGAATATCAATCAAGGAGATATCTTGGAAGGTATTTGTCACTTTATCTCCTCCTCCTCTTCCTCGCTACGAATTTATGTCGTTCGTAAGTCTGAATTTTTCCTTGAGTCAGAGTTTAATCACGACAGAAGATTTCGAAGATGGTTTCCTTCTACGATAAACTTTGATAATCCGTTCGAAGTATTCGATCGCTTTATCGATCCGAAAGAACCTTCTTTATCTTATCGACCGCGATTGTTTCCTCTCGCGAGAAATTTTCGCCTGTGAAGAATCGAACGTTTAAGCGTAAGTTATTTTATCCGAAAGAATAGTCCGAAAAATTCGACTTGTGCAATGGCCCTGCGACAAACAATAAAAATTCGCTAAAATTAGAAGATCAAATGTATCAACACTACAACTACGAAAATGGTCAAAAATATTTTACAGATGTGTTTCTAGAGATTCTTCGTAAAATACACGCTTCGTTGTATCGTACAGTGTTTCCATTTCTTTTTCATTTATTTTTCAACATCTCTGATGACTACATTCACTAAACGTCTGACGCTCATTGAATATTTTACAGGTGTGAAGCAGGTGTATTTTTGGAAATTTAAATGACTTTTCGTAAAGTGTATAAATAAAAAAACTTCTTTTACAAAAACTTCTTTATATATATATTTTTTTTTCTTTTTCTACTTTAACATTTCCGATGGAAATTCTAGCTTCTAGTTGTTTCTCTGCTGTTCTCAGTCACCGGGGCGACCGACTGCGGTCTTCTCGAAGGAGTGCTTCGAGGACAAGGCACGGGCCTGTTTCCGGCGCACTGCGTGCAAGAGGTGAGACTTCGTCACACGAACATCCCGCTGGGTCCTCAGCCTGCCAGGGATGGCCGGAACAGAGTACTGGGTCGTAGAGAATCGCAGCATAAGTATTTCGCTACTGCTCCCAGACTGAAGAAACCGTGAGTCATTATAATATTACTAGTAACGTGTAAACGCGTAATGACAACAGTTAGACGATTAGGGCGATTTTTAGAAACTAGAGAGAGAGAGAGAGGCGAATAATATCTTATACCTCGTCAAGCGTTGCCTTGAGTGCTGAAGGCAAAAAACGACGAAGTTGGTTTAATCCAATCCGAATAACCGTTATTCAATTCGATGATCTCCAGAGTTACGTCCGAACCTCGCACCGTGGTACTGCACCGCTCGAGAAAGGGTTTCGGGTTCGTGTTGCGTGGCGCCAAGGCAACCTCGCCTCTGATGGAGCTGACGCCGTCGGCCAGGTATCCCGCCTTGCAGTACCTGGACGACGTCGATCAAGGAGGCGTGGCCGACCTAGCTGGCCTCCGAAAAGGAGACTACCTTATCCAAGTGAGTGATGATCGTACAGCGTGCGATCATTTTCCTAGAAAAAAGTCCAGGTGAAATTTGACTGACTTTTGATGATCTCGAATTTCAGATCAACGGCGAGGATGTGACAACGGCGTCGCACGAGCACGTGGTCGACTTGATCCGAAAGTCCGGGGAACTGGTGAGAATGACGGTGGTATCGCCGGTGATCAGCCTTCCGAATTCGCAATCGGCAGCCCTTCTGCCAACTAGTCAACCCATTCAGAGGCAGTACGCGACCCTTCCGCGCAAGGGCAACAACAACGTGGTGATCGGCGGCACGCTCGGCAGATCACCGGCACCCATGCCACCGCGAAGAGACCCGAAGACCACTCTGAGCGTTGGCCGGGCGCGAGCAAGATCGATGGTCGCAGGATTAGGTAAACTTTCGTCGAATATGCGAGAGATCGACACCGTTGATTCAAAGTAAAGAGACAAGGTGTTGGCGGTCGTTTGAATCTCGACAAAACTTAGGTTCCGCTTAAATTCAATACTAGAGCTACCATCGACTATCATTAAAGCACAAAATTTCCATCAGAGATATCGATGGATGGATCTCGAAAAGATAGAGAGATACGATAGACTGTACATTTCATGAAAAATTATTCAAATCTTTGGAAATCTGCTGTCTCGCTGTCTACAAAAATTATCTAACAAAAATTAATAAATTGATCATCTTGCTCACTTTGGTAGTGATTGCTTTAATCATCTAGTGTTCTGCATGATTAAAGCAGAAAATTTCCATCAGAGAGATTGGAGTTGAAAAATTATTCAAATCTTTAAAAATATATACACCTATAAGATATCTGACAAAAATTAACAAATTGATCATCTTGCTCACTTTGGTAGTGATTGCTTTAATCATCTAGTGTTCTGCATGATTAAAGCAGAAAATTTCCATCAGAGAGACTGGAGTTGAAAAATTATTCATATCTTTAAAAATACGCCTACAAGATATCTAACAAAAATTAATAAATTGGTCA